CCCTCCCGCACCACAACCCCCCATCCATATGCAGGAACCGCCGGGGATAACCGGGGGACGTGAGGCGATCCCGGGAACGCCGCCACCCAGCGGGTACCTGCAGAGGTCGTCCAAGACGCTGCTGGGGATCTCGGCCCGTTTGGTCTCCATGGAGAAACGCGGCTCATCCCGACGCAGCGGGGCCCGAACCACGGTGTTGCGGCGGCAGTGTGGGGGGGCGGGGGCGGGGCTGCCGGGCGCCCGCCCGGAGGGGAGCGGGGGCGGAGAGGCGGCGGAGCGGCAGCCGCCTCCGCCAATCGCCTGGCGCCGGGAGCTCCCGGGCCTGACGGGGCGAGCCAATCAGCTGGAGAGCTGCTGGGGGGAAAGGGACACCCCCCCTCAGGTGATGGCGGGAGGTAGCCAATGGGTGCTGCGGCGGCATGCCACGTCACAGCGCGTCACGCCGGTCGTTGCGCCGCCATCTCGGGCACAGCTGGTAGCCGGTTGGTGCCGGAACGCGTCCAGGCCGCGGCCTCCAGCGGCGGCAGGCGGGAGAGCGGGCGCCGTCGCTGCTGAGGCGACGCATTGACACGACACGACACGGAGGCGCCCCTTCACCTTCCCCTCCGCCCCCTTAGCTCCCCGCCGCTCCTTAACACCGTGCTCCCCCTGCTCGGCCTCTCCCGCAGTGGCGTCTGAGGCAGTCGGCTTCGTCTCGATCGGGCTTTGCTTCACCCTCCGCATTTTGAACTTCACAGGCGTTGGAGAGAAGCGTGAAGCCTCTCGCACTATGTTGCCGTTAATTCATTCTCGCTATCGTTGAGGCTTTGGGCTGAAGTCACGAAGTTTTAGTGCTTGGAGATACTTAAACGTTGCACTGTGAGTGATCAAGTGCAGGACAAACATCTTTAAACTGCGGTGAGGACAAGAGGATGAGGAAGATGCACCGGAGGAAGATGTACCTGAGGAACATCTGGTTGGCACGCATAGAAAACCACCTCTGTGGCCTCCAGCAGAGGGTATCGCTGGTCTGGCCGTTGCAGTTGCTGAGGAGGCTCTGCCTCACCCATCTCAGGCCGGTTGCTGCTGCCAGCTTTGATTTTGATTAGAAGTGAATATTTAAAGCATTTCTCACTGTGTCTCCTCCCCGCCAAGGTCCCTGAGCTCACTTCCACAGCAATTTCATTGCGGTTGCTAGTCCTGTAGTCCCATCTTCCTCTGTGCACACAGGGAGCTACAGGGGACAGAATCAGTGGAAAAAAAGTTATGTGTAAAACAGTGAATAGTTTTCTACTTTAGTTACCAGAAGCAACAAAACCAGCAGAGGAGAGAGGAGATAAGAACAGATGATCAGGGGGATGATGGGATGATAGCTGCATCAGCCTGGAGCAGCTTCACTGTAGTGAATTTACAGAGCAGAACTTGCTGAAAGCACCAAAGGGAGAATGTCACATTTTATGCTTCCCTCTGTCACTTTACCTATGGCATTCCGCCAGGCCTCCTACTGAGCCAATTCAACTCCCCTGTTCAAATTTAAATCTTTTAAGAAGAAAAAGTAGCAAAGGAAATCTAAAGAAATGCAACAAATACAATCTAGAGAAATTTTGGCTATGCCTATGTTACGAAATTGAGCACTTTAATGTTAAACTCGGTGTGCTTCCAAGCTCATTTGAATAAAAAAGGAGCTAACAAAGGCACCAGTCCAGTTTTACCTTGAAGACACAAAAAAATATGTATATTCACAACTCATTTTTTAACTGTTACCAGAGACAGAAAATGAGAAATGTATCCTTTGCCTCCTTTCTAAAGTTAAAGAACATGAGAATCCATGATAGGTCCAGAAGCACAAGGGAAGGGCATTCAACCAGGTGTAGGAGGAGTAATATACACTGGTGCCTCTCCTGCAAACTCCACACAGTGGTATTTGACAATTAATATTGCCTGACCACCTTTATTGCTGTGATATTTGAGATGATGGGTGTATCACATCTGTAAATCAATGTTGACTTAGAGAAGTAGTTTGGCAGAGGAAGGGAAGTCAAGGCCTAACAATGCTATTCCTATGGCTAGACAGAAGGACAGGTGGAAGGGTCCAAGCTGGTAAATCCCATTGCTTCAAGTTCCAGAAAGTTCAGTTTCTACCAGAATGGGTAGATATGTGAGATTCTGTAAAAGGGTACTCTTCCCATTACTGTTTTTCCCTGCTCTGCTACACCTTTCTTTTTCTTTCACTTTTTTTTTCTTCCCCCCCCCTATTCTTCCCCCCCACCATGCAGATGTGGTACCAGGAGCTCCTACAAAAAAAGGACAAAAAAACCCGTGTTTTGGGAAATGCGCTTTGGCACATTGACACGTTATATCACCTATGCTACTATTAGCCCATTCATGGTTTCTGAAAAAAAAAAAAACAACTCAGAAACCAATACAATGAAAAAGTGAACGTGTCAAATATTACCGAAGTTACCAAAGGCACTTGGATAATAAGATGCTTAGTGCAGGAGAAATGTACTAACTAAAGAACGTAATCGCAGTTTATAGACAGTGTTCCCAAGCCCCCAGGACAGGCGAGTGAGAAGAGACGCATTTGAACATTTCTGCTTGTTCTGTTTTTGAGATGTGGCTGAAAGACTCTCGGTTAGTCAGAACAGAAATGTAATAAAAAAAATGGGTTCATAAGGGGGATTTGGAACTGTGTATCATTGTAGTTTCTTTTTTCCTCACTTAGAGCCTCGTTTATATGTTTTCTAATTTCTTTGCTAAAATAATGTGCACCCTTTTTGCCCATTAGCTCGTGCAAAGCAAGTGTAGTTAAAGCTGACATGTTCAGTTTATAGTATTTCCCCAGAGATAAATCTACACGTAGCTCTTCCAGGGAGCTTGCGTACACAGATACGTCGAGAGCAAAGTTGGCAATGCTTCTTGCCAAGCTGCAAGGGCACTTAAGATAGTAGGAGGGCCACCTACAGCATTGAGAAGTTTACCTGGTACCGGCAACACCTCACAGCTCCAAGCAGCCTGCAGAATCACCCGGCGATGTAGTCAGACGGGTTTTTAATCTTTTCTTATCAGTCAACTTTGGCAGTCAGTCAGAAAGGCAACAGTAAGATACTTGGAAAATAATGTCTGTTGTCTGTTTGCACTGAGACAATGACAGAAGTAGCAGAAAATTAAAAAAAAAAAAGGTCATCCATTTGCACAATCACAAAGGAGTCTCAGAAGAGGAGCTAGATTGCACAGGAAAAAGTGACAGCTGAAGGTGGAGAAAGCTTTGCCTGAAGAAGCTGATCAAAGTGGAGGATAAAAATGCATTGAATACAAGGACACATTCAGAAGCCAAGAACCAGCCAAACCCAGAGCTGAATAAATGTGTTTGCAGCTTAGGTTAATTCGAATAAAGACTGAGGCAGAGCCTGGAGACTCTGCAACCAAGTGAGATGGTCTAAGGCTTGCCGTGGTCATCAGAAAAGGGCATTAATTCCGCTCAGCCCTTCAATAAACGGTTTCCATACTAAAATCTCTAACAAAGTGTAGCTAATGGAGGTACCCAGGAAGGGGGCCGAAAAGCACTGACTTTCATAAGCAATATGACTCAGCACCCCCATTTGTTGCAAGCTGGTATTTTGGGTCAAATTACCATAAAAGTTACAGCGAGACAGTGCAAGCACGCTACTTGCCTGCTCTGCTCAATTAGTGTGTTATATGGGAAATGAGGTGAGTGGGAGAGTTCACACAGACCCGTATCTCAGCTGAATGGTGGATATACTTTGTAACAAATACTATATAAACCATACTGAGAAACATAAATAGTTAAAATATTTTGAAGCAATATTTAGGTATAGCAAATCACCCACACAGAGTTAATGAAAATGTAGGCTTAAATTCATGTTTGTCTCAGTTCCCTGATTGTTAAGGAAAGATAACCACAAAGATCTTTTGAAAATAATTTTTATTAAATGAGAAGCACCACAGGAAGGGACACATGTGTAGCGATGTACAAGAAATTATAACAATAAGATGCATTCATTAAAAGATTTGGATGAAGTACGGTAACTAAACCCTGGAATCCTGTGGAAAAAGAAAAGTCAGTGATCATGTGGTTACTTTATGTATAGAGAGCCGTGGTAAGCCTGCACAGCAAAATCTGCATTAGGCTTCTCCTAACATTACAGTACTTTAGTCAAATAATTTTCCAATTTAAGACTTTGCAGGTAATTATGGATTTAATGACAATCACACGCTTATTGTTATACACAAAGGACAAGAATGCAGTAAAGCACAGGAAACGCTATAGGGCATGACTGCACGGTTTACTTAAGGCAGCACTGAACTCAAACAGGCTTAACCAGCCAATCCAGGTAACATATTTACACATCCTTTGGGCATGATCATCCACTCCACGTTAAGCTCATTGTTGGAGGAAGTGCACACCTGTGCTAAAGCCAGAGGCTAACCTTTACCTCTGGATGGATGACAGGAGCGGGCCACAGCTCAGTGTGAAAAGACAGAAGCGTGGAAGACAGACAAGACAGACACATCTTGTCCCTAGGCCATTCTTATCTTAAAATCAGGCTAAATAGCTTAAAACATCACAGTACAGAAGCAAAGATACTAATTTGCATTAACTGGGGGGGGGAGGGGGGCAGAAGGTAGACACAAAAAAAGGGTACAAAAAGGGAAAATGAAGAATGGAGGACAAGAGAAAGGAAATCCTCTTACATACTGTTTTCTTTTAGTTCCTTTCAGAATGCAACTCTCAGCAGGTAGAATATGCAGCCTGCCAGTCTGCACGCAGTCTAAGGGTGCATTTCCTCTCCCAGCCCATCTATGGCCCACAGCCTGTGACTTTGGATGTCAGCTCTCGTATTTCATAGAATCGTCTAGGTTGGAAGGGACCTTAAAGATCATCTAGTCCAACCATCAATCTAACTCTGACAAAAAAATAAATAAGAAATAAGCAATAAAAAAAATAAGCAATAAAAAAAAAAAAATTGATTCTAATCTACAGCTAGAGGCAGAGTAGCCTGGACAAACTGTCCACTACTGCACGTGCTTTGGTTCTGATATCCAGGACACCACTACTTCCAAAACCTGCAAGGTGGGTAGGCACTGGTCTCTTTGTCCTCCATGGGATAATCCTGATGCATTTTTCTGCTTTTCCTCACCTCCAGCAGAAGCTCCTTGAGCTGGTCACACTGTCCTCCTTTAACTTTTCTCGCTAGGCTAGTTCCTTCAGGTTACAGTATTCCTTCCTTGTTCTCAGTTTCAACCTTTTCTGGGAACAAGAAGGAGCACTACCCAATGTTGTGTGTTCTCTGTATTGTGCTGGAAGAGCACTGAGTATTTTCTGGTACAGAACTCTACCTTTGCTCCTATTTGCCCTTCCAGTCTGCTGCTTCTAACAACCCATTCTTCTTTTGCTCCTTACCAATTAAAGTATCATAAACGAAACATTTATGCACATTACTGCTAAAAGGAATTTGCTTAGCACATTGTAGTACACTGAAACCATTTGTCTAGCACAGATCTACTAGGGGAGATATTAATGCTGCATGTGAAAGTATGTTTTTGAATAAAGGAACAAAAATGCAGAGAGTTAATATGAAAAGGTGGCTGGAATTCAGTTGTTTTAAACATTTTTATTAGATTCCCTTCTCTATAATAGTTTTGTGTTTTATCTGCTCTCCTCCTTGGTCTTACAGGTATGATGAAAAAACCCATAATTTTTAGAAGGACCTTATTAGTGTGAGGAGAGCAAGCACAGGAGAGAAAACCACACCCAAAGGCCAAACTAAGTTTCCTTGGGGCTTCTTGCACTCCTGCAAAACGTGACCCGAGTCCACAGATCCCTTTTCAGTTTGAGTGGCTCATTTAGAACTCAGCAAGGTCATGTAGTTACTCCACATCCCAGCACACCTATAAGCAAAACAGAAGTCACACTGTTTTCTGCATCATCTGGTGATGCTTACCATATGTCACTATTAACCCTTGGGCGCATCAGAATAGCAAAGCATTTTTATAAGGATGGGGAATTGCTACACAGCAATGTCTTTATACTTGACAAAAGGAATGTCAGTGAAGTTGCCAACACTTTTAATATCGCTGTATTTTAACTTTAAATTCAGGTATAGAATTTTGTTCTGCCTGCATCTGAGAATTAAGTCTCTCACACATCTTGTCAAGGACCATTTCTTATCAGGTGCCATTATTAGTCATTATTATTTTAAAAGCAACACAGCCCTTCATGCGATATAACATCTGTCCAGACAGTCCACCACATTCTCTCTAAAAGCCAAGACTCATCAGATGGATACAGCAAACAAAGAAAAGGAAAGAAAGGGGGCTGGAACACATAGAATAAAAGGAGGATCAGGGATCTGGAACTGTTGTGCTTGTCTCAGAAGGGAAGCTAAGTGGTGACATCAGCTTGCTACCTTTAGCTATCTGGAGGTTAAAGAGAATTAGACCCTCCTCAGAGGTAGAGAGGACCAGAGCAAAGGACAAGATGAAAGAGTTGCACGTGACATCAAGAGAAATTTCGATTTCAAACATGAAGAAAAAATTCTTCTCTGTGATTGCAGTTAAGCTGTTCAAGGAGGCTGCAGAATTTCAGTCCATGAGGACCTTCAGATCCCTCTGGTCCAGACCCAGAGTACCATGGTCTAGCTCTGGCATTAGCCCTGCTTTGAGCATGAGGACTACATAACCTGCAGAGATCCCCTTTGACTGTATTTTATGACAAGATGAATCATTTTCTCTCAACAAAAAAAAAAAAGTTGAAATTACAGGATAAACCTTTTAGCTGGGGTTATGGACTAGCTATTTTTCTCCCTCCTCTCATCACTTCTGCCTTTAAAAGGACAGCTACTTGAAAGAAGAAAAGGTATTCCAGCAGTTAAATGAATTTGTTTTAAATTCTTTGCAAGATGCCTTTTCCCAGAACAATGACAGCTTAAAAGCACAACATGCATTTAAATTTTTCCTTGGTGAAGGTAAAACATACATAAAAAGCTTTAGAAGAGTGATTTGTATTTTCTGCCATGCTCATGAGTGACACAGATTTGCAGAAGGCACAGAGAGCCTACATTAGTAGTTGTAATGCTGAGTCAGATGCAGAGGAGTTGCTGGGAAGAGTCAGCCCAGCCAAGGAAGTTTCCAGGACTACGTCATAGCCAATAAATTATATTTAGTTGGCAGGAACATCGTGCACTCCATAAATTCTAGGGTACAGTTACAGCCAGGAGCTGCTGCCCTCGGTCTCGTCACATGCCTTTTGGGAAGCAGTGCCATCATGTTTTCATATTTTTTCTGCATCTCATTAATTCCTACCATCCCTTTCTGGCTTTTGCTCATCGTTTCTGAAATTAGGGATAATACATACGGCTTTTAAAAAACAAAACAAACAAAAAAGGTAAACAAAAAAACAACACACCACCTTTTTGAGCAATTTTAGGGGGCTGGAGCTGGCTGTGCGTGGGCTCTCCTTCTCCTCAAGCTTTGTTTGCCGAGGGGATTCGCTCCCCGCTCACCGAAACAAGGCGCACCCCCCTGCAGGGGTCTCACAGGCCGCCCCTCCACAGTCAACCATCAACCCCGGCCCCTCGGCAAAGGGGGCGGCCGGGTGGTACCCCCTGGGG